CAATACTTCACAACCTTTAGGGTTCTCGCTCACAAATAGTAGTAAATACTTTTAAACTAAATAAATAACTGCTGTCAAGTTCACTTACAGAAGCAGTATGCCATCTTTTCCAGAGCTGTTTTAACTAGGATATCCATTCCCATAGCCATTGTGTTGGTATCCCACCCCCACGCCCCCCCCCCCTTTTTTTTAAAATCCAGGTAAAACAATTCATAACAAAGTTAGTTTTTATATCTGGATTCAGAGTAGAACCTTTCATCCTGTTCTTTTTGGCTGACCTTCGGACAATCAGATTTAAATCCATTAATATGGACATTGCGCTTCCTGCTCCTCACCTAGTCCTCCCCATTTCTAAATCGTCAGGATTTTCCTTTAAATTTTTCTCTCAAGTCTAGTCAGTGGATTTGCCTCGTGTAATTATTGGAGAAATTTTCGCCACAAAATATTCTCACTATAGAATGGCCAGTACGGGATGGGTTTACCCCCATTTACATTGTGAAATAAAATAAGCTCATTTTCCCATTTGTTCCCATTTTCATCCTTTGCCCACCATCATCACCACTGGCATTAAGAGATCTTAATAATATAGCTTTGTCTCTGCAAAAGGAGATTCGATTTTGTAAAATAACTAATGTATACTGGTTTTAAATGAGGGTCACTGGGCAGAATATATTAGTCTAATGTCTATTTTTGAACTTAACGATACATATTTTTGTTCAGCACTCAAAAGCACTGAACCACCTACATAACGTAGCAAAGTTCTATTCTGTCCTTACATTAGGTCAAATAAGCCACCCTTTGCATGAGTCTCAGCAAAATTTTATACATGTATTGGAGCTACATGGCTGGCAGAAAAACAGACAGTTACTTCAAAACCACAAAGAAGTGGGAGCCCAAAGAATTCCTTTCTGCAATTCAATAAACAAGAGGAAAGATGTACTGTTTGCTGGCTCAAAATAGACACTAATTTTACATCTGTCTCTGAGGCACAGCAAAAAGCCAACTAAAGAGCAGTAATAAATGTCCAAAAACAGCATCAGTATCCAAAACTCTCCCAGTAATCTTCAGAGGAATTAATTACAATTCTGTATAACAGTTGCATTGGCAAAATGCACCCATAATTATATACAGGTACTGTACTGTATTACAGGGAAATTTGCCATGTGATACCATGTTTACATGATAATTGATGGATAAGATAAAACTATTTGCATATGAAGTGCATATGAATTATTGGCATGGCTCACCATTTTATGTGGAATCATATTAAAGTTTCATTTTCTCTAAAACTGTATGTGTAATATGGGGTTACCAAAGGGTATAAAGCTGATACTTAAATTTGCTTTATAGCAAATGGGCCTGGAAAGATATATCTGAATATGCATTACTAAAAACCTATATTTAAAAGGCTTCATAGTTTATCTATAATAAGCATTATTTTCACTTCAGCAGATTGCATTATATTAAATCGTCTCTATTCTTCCTTCTAAGTAAACAATACTCTAAATTGTATCACTATACCAATTAATTTTACAATCATATGCAAAACAAATAATGGTTTCTCTTTATTGTCTATTGGTATAACTTTTTTTTTTTTCCAGATTTTTCTATTCTGGTGACATGTAACAGAATAGTAGCAAAACGTGACATTTTTATAATGTCCCTACCTGCCGGAAAATTTCAGCATTTGCAAAAATGGCCTATCATAGCATTTAAACATTACTGATAATTAGCTTGACATTTGAAATACCAGAACTGTTGTTTTGAAGAAGCCCTATACAATGTTACCTAACTAACCCCTTTTCATACTTATATGCTTTCTCTACATTATTCTGTCAGTTGGAGTACAAACAAGATATCAGTTGCTAATGTATTGTTAAGGGGCGATACTTCATCTTCACCAGAAGCAGAATTTTTTTTTTTTTTATGTAAAGGAAAATTACATATGCGGATTATAGACAGTTAGTTGTTAATAAGGCGGTCAGTAATGATTTTCTATAACTCCATTCAAGCTAAGTGTGCCAATAAATCTTTCAATGCAATCGTCAAACATTAATTAAATGCCTACAATGTGGCAAGTCCAGAGGATACATGGATGTGCTACTCTCACCTCAGGAAGCTTGCTATCTATTTGGAGAAATAGAATCATAAAACTGTAGTGTTAGAGGGCCACTTGAAGTCAACTCTCCACATGTGACAAGGGAGGTCCAGTGACTTATCTAAGGCCCTGCAGCCAGATGGTGGCAAAGCCAGTGCTAAAATGCACGTCTTCAAACATACAATAGCTGCACAAAAATACACACAGTATTACAAATTCCCAATGAAGAATGCAATCTAAATGTAAACTCCACATGATCAGAGTAAGGAAATGAAAATCCCCGGGACTTTTGGGGATTTTCACAATGCAAAATAGAGATTGTTGCTTAATTTTGAATTGTTTTGGTGATTGTTACTTTCATGGATCTCCTTAATTTGAGTTACAGAAGCCTACCAATTTGATCAATTACCAGAATCTAACGATACACCCATGTTTCCCACAATAGTTTGGAAACAATAGAAATAAAGAGGCAGTTCCCAGAATTATGAGCTTGAAGACCTGTCTTCTCATCCCAGTCCCAGTGTGTAACCAGCTGTGTGGCCTTGGCCTATCATCCAAGGAAACTTGGTACAAATGGGTAAAAATAATGATAGTAGGTTCCCTGTCTATGAGGTTGCCATAAGGAGCCTACGAACTTGTATGTGTGATGGCAACTTTGTGAAGTATAAAACACTGATATCCACTGAAATAATAATAAAGATGGGACCACAGGGGGGCCTGGATGGCTCAGTTAGCTAAGCGTCCCACTCTTGGTTTTGGTTCAGGTCATGATCTTGGGGCTGTGAGATCAAGCTCCTCCTCCGGCTCTGTGCTTAGCGGGGAGTGTGTTTCTCTCCCTCTCCCTCTGCCCCTCCCCCAGCTCACAAGCATGCTCTCTCTCTCTCTCTAAAATAAATGGATAAATCTTTTTTAAAAATTAAAAAAATAGGCACCCCTGGGTGGCTCGTGGGTTAAACATCTGACTCTTGGTTTCAGCTCAGGTCATGATGTCAGGGTCATGGGACAGAACCCCAAGATGGGCTCTGTACTCAGTGCGGAGTCTGCTTGAGATTCTCTCTCTCCCTCTGCTCATCTCCCTGATCACGTGTGCTCTCTCTCCCTCTCGCTCTCAAGTAAATAAGTAAATCTTTAAAAAAATAAAAAATAAAATAAAATGAAGATGGGACCATGGCTCCAGTGTCTTCTTTTGTCTGCTATTGCGATGTGGTAGGTATAGGTGAAAAGAGAAGATTTGAGTACATGCCAGTCAGTTTTGGTGTTGGCCCTTCATTTAAAAATTGATTTGCAAAAATGTCCTCAAGTAGTAGCACCGTGATGGGAAACAGTATGCTTAATCCTGCAGCTAATACTTGATGTAGACATGTAACCTTATTTTAAAAATGTCTCTTCTGATTATAGGGCTTAAAGTTAAAAAGAAGTCCTTAGGAATTTTATGAGTCATCTGGTTTCCTGAATCTCTTAGATGCTTGGAGAGCATTTATATTTGAGCCAATGGATTAATGGCCTAGTTGCTTTCTTAAAATGTCCTTATGTGTGGTAAGTGTTTGTGGACATTCTAAGACTCCTCACCTGAACCCTAGCCCTTTATTCCTCCCCTTTCTTCCCCAAGTTCGATTTCTAGGTACGATGCTGCTAAAGACAAGATGCAGCAATTCCTCCAGAATTTTTATCCAGTGACTTGTTTATCCAGGGAAGATGTATCATCAACACCCCTTCTTGATCACAGTTAACTTGTTACCTCTACACTTGGGTGGATAAAAAACATAGGACTAAATTCAAGGGTCGATTTCTCATTTGATGATGGGGGCGGGGTCTCGTGACAGATACAACAAAACAAAGCAAGTTCAAACAGAAATTTTCTTCTGAATTTGACTATGTGTCACTGAAATGCATGAGCCTTACTTTCCTGATTTAAAAATGGGAATAACTTTATCACCCATGGAGGCAAGATTAATTAATGCTAGAAAGAAGGG